CTGTCTGCATAGGAGAGGTGCTCCAGCCCTCGGATTATCTTTGTGGCCCTCCTCTGGACTCGCTCCAGCAGCTCCATGTCCTTCTTGTGTTGTGTCAGCCATAGGAGCTGCTGTGTGGTGCTCAGGGAAGGTGACAAGGTGCATGTCACACTGACTGCAGTGCAAAGGCATTATCAGTTCCTCTTGGAGAGAGTCACTGCTGTTTTGGGATGTTACCCTTCCCTCCCATCCCAAACTGCTCTGAGGGTATAGAGGTAAATGAAAGATGCTATCACTGCAGAAAGGGTCTTCAAGTACTTTGCAGCTGTACAGCAGCCTGGCCAAGTGTCATGGTCATCTAACTATATAAAATAAACTAACAGACATACCTTCTTTTCTTTAAAAAAAACCCACAACCTTTCTTAAGAGCATAAGATTTTTTTTTGTTATTTCGTGCAGTTTCCCTTTCTTGTTTTCTGCTTGACCCATACCTTGTCTCCCTAACCGCCCTGATCTCTACTTATGAACAGTATTGTATTATGCCTGGTGTTACCTCATTCCCGTCTTCTTCTGAACATTGAGCCTGAAACACTGTCCGTAACTTGCTCAGCCCTACAGCCGGCAGAGGCAGGCAGGGCAAGCAAGGGGGAGCTCCCTGTGGGAGTCAGCTCCTGGCACTGCCGAGCAGCTCCCGCTGCACACCCTGCTGGGCTGCAGCCTAGAAACACCCTGAAATGCTCATGTCTCTCGTATTGTCATTGCTGAGTTAGTTCTTTATTTATTTTGCTGATCAGGCCTTGCAGAAATAACAACGAGGCTTTAAAAACCGTCGGGGTAATAAAAGGGTGGTCAGACTAATGAACATCAAAAACTTCCATCCTGTTGACCCAACCTTGACTTAGAAAAGCTGCAGCTGTCAGTTTCTTTAAGAGATAAAGATCACACTTTTGTTACTTCTTTTTGCCTGAGAGACACAGCCAGTAACTGCTTATAACAGACAAATAGCCTGAATGTTTTGTTTTAGTCACTGACTGCTGTTTTATTTTATCTTAGCCAAGAAACAAAGATAGCAAGGTTGTGTGATAGACTTAACTGCTGGCATCAGTAGATGCTGACTTTATCTTAAGATCAAGCAATTAACCTTTGCAGCTCTGGCCAATGTCAGAGGGACAAGTGGCAATTAATAGTCTGCTCTGACATCTCAGCAGTTAAGGGTCACATCACAGCTGAAATGACACAGCCACTCCTGCAGCCAAAGGAAGTGACAGTGTTTTCCTTCTAAAAGAACCTCTGCTGATCTTTATTCCCTCAGCGTGAAATCTGCTACGCTGCAACGACGCTTGCAGACTTTAAGACGTGCGAGCTCCGCAAGATTGTTGGAGAAAGCTTAGGAAAAAGGAACTGTTGGTAGAACACGAGTTTTTGATGAGTAAGGAAACAGCCTTTCTTCTCTCCATACAGTGTCACGATGAAAAGGCCAAGGCACTTGGCAACAACAGTGTATTGTTTTAATTTTAATGCTGCTATGTCACTTTCAGACTCTATTCAGTATTACAGTAATAAGAGTTGTTATGCAATTTATTTCAAAATCACTGCTGTGTTTTCTGGAAGCTGAAATGTTTCTCTTACAGTAAGAGAAGCTAATCACTCTGTGGGTCTTCTTACCAAACAATTTGCTAGTTAAAAATCTGAAAAATTAGCAACAAACTCAAGGAAATATTTGAAGTTGTCTAATATTAACCAATGGACACAAGCAAACACTCCTTACAAACTGTAGAATGGTAGTCCTAACGTGGTACACATGTACGGACAGGCTTGACTTTAGCCATGGCAGTATCCTTCTGCATTCCACGGCTATCCTAACTTCAGGACATGCTTATGCTTTTTGCAAGCCTGGATGCTAAGGTTGTATCTTAATGGAAAGGAGTTGGTCCCTCTAAATATAGAATCATAGAATGGTTAGGGTTGGAAGAGATCTCAAAGATCATCTAGTTCCAACCCCCCTGCCATGGCGGGTATATGATATACTCAACAGGTACTACTAAGTATCTTTGGCTGGTGAGGTGAAAACAGCTCTTTTTTTTAGTGACAGCATGGGTAAATACACCATTACTAAAGACATGGGTGACAACGTGATGGAAAGAAACAAAATTAATTTTTAGGAGGAATATACCCCATCCACATTTCAGCTGTATAGCTGCAGTCACAACCAGCCAGCAAGTAACAAACAGATTGCTCCTTTCTGCGTGTCTGGCGCCGCACAAACCCAAAAGTGCAATGCTTCTCACAAACAAGTCAGCTGGTATAGCCAGAAAGTCTGGACGTGATGGCAACCTAAAGGCAAAGTTCTAGCTGCCCCAGAGATACACTCTGATGCAAAAAGGAGTTAAGACACTAGAACTAAGTCGAGAAAGCACCGCTTGCTGTAGGAAATGATCCGGATAGGGACACTTCTCTGTCTCTTTGGCAACAGTAGCAATATTCGCTAAGAAGATAGCTGTGTGGTTTAGGATGCCTAGAAAATCTGGATTTAGCTCTTTGCAATTTCTGTCCTAGGTTTATTACATAGAATCATAGAATCATAGAATGGTTAGGGCTGGACGGGACCTTCAAAGGTCATCTAGGCCAACCCCCTGCAAGGAACAGGGATATCTCCAACTAGACCAGGTTGCTCAGGGCCTCGTCCAACCTGGCCTTGAACATAAAAGTCTCACATGCTTTAGCTGCAAAACAGGGTTAATAGTGCTTCCTTTCTGCTTCTTGTCACGTACAGGCAGAATTCAGGACAACAGGATCGCAGTTAGATATTCTCTAAATGACATCAAAGCACAATTCATAAATATGAAAAAAGTGTAAATAAATGACTTGTTTGCAAAGCATTTCTAAACATAGTCTAAATATGGGCAGAATAATCATACCATAGGGCTGCAAAGGGTTTTCTTAACATCAGGGCCCAATTTTCTGTAAGAAAGTTTTCTCTTGGGAGTCTATTTCTGTCTGACAGAAGAGGGAGGGAAGACATACTTGTTTAAAAAGAGGTTTACACCAACACATTATTTGTGTAAACTTTAATTTCCTTACAGTAGAAACATACATAGTACAAGCCAAAAGTAGTATAACAATTTTACAGCAAAGCTAACCAGCAAAATGCAAAACTATTTTGTATCAAATTCTTAAAAAACTGTGCACTTTCTCAAACTTAACTTTGTTCAGCACATCGTTTTGATTTATATATAATAAGGCATTAATTCTATAAGAATCATTTACTATATTCCAAAATCGCATGACCTAGGTGTAACACTCTATAGCCTGATACCATTTTTGTTCCTTTCGATATTTACAGATTTAATCTACCTGCATTGACATGTAGCATAAAAGCACTAAGAACAAACACAAGCTTCGCCAATACTAGTTTCACATTGAAAAAGTTCCATAAAAAAAAGCTCATTTGTGCATTTCAATAGCTTGGTTCTGCTGCAGCCATGACCGTAGTTTAAGAATAATTTCCCCTTTTGGCATGCTTCCTCACTTCCAGTAGTATTTTGGTCTTTCAAAATGCAGAATTGAATCTGCTCTGAACCTGCAGGAACTGGAAGCGGACCCCAGTTTTACCAGCTACCCAAAATTTGTTTTCCTCCTCTCCAGAACACAGTTCTTAAATTTATTTGAAAGATAAATCTTCTATAAATGGCATAATTGAATTCATTCTAGCTACTATGTACAGAAATGGCTCAGGCAATTAAGTTAGTCCACCTTGTCATTAGTCAACAGGAAGTATAATTACTGTAGCTGTAAAGGAGGTATCTAGTGTTCCAGAATAAGTGAGTTTAATTATGGTGAGAGCTTCCCCAATTCTATTTACATGACAACTTCAGGCTCAATGTTAAATAGCAAGTCATCATTTCCTCTTCGAACTTCAAGTAGTAGAGGTGATTCATTCATCACAGCCTCTTGCAGGTCACTGGAAGTCATCAAAGGACGTCCATTGACTTTAACAATAATATCTCCATCTTGGATCCCTCCTCTGCAAAGACAAGAAGAAAAAGGCAGTAAGTATGCATTCTATGCAGAGAAAAAGCCCAAAGACTATTCACCGCCTCTTTGGCTGATGTGATAAATTTTTACTTGTTTTAATTTCCATTGAAGGGAAATTCCACCCTTCTGACTGTAAGAAATAATCAGTAGTACTCGCTAAATGCAAAATCAGGCTCATATTATTTTATTGAGGATTTTCTTCTAAAACAGCAAAAACACACCGACAGTGAAAGTAGTCTAGTTTTCTCTTTGTCTTCCACAAAACTACAGCAAATGAGAAAGAGAAAAGAATTTTAGCCATGACTGACTCGCACCACTCTATCCATTTGCAAGAATATGCTTTTCTCTCTCCAGTATGTATTCCAAGCATTGGAAATTCAACAATTCTCAAAATTTCAAGATAAGCAAAGTGTACCAACTGAACTACAGGTAAATTATTTCTCTCTTGCTGTTCAAATGTAATCCAGAATAGCTGCTTTTACTGTCTTTGCCTTTTCTTAATAATTCCTAAAGTAATTTTTAGAAGTGTCTTACTTATTCACCAACTGTTCTGTAAAATAGTCTTTTTCTCTCAGATAAAACATTGTCCCAGAGAAGAGCTCTGCCAGTGTTCTATGTGAATGCTATCCTGTTTCCTGTTTAAACTCAATCCAAGTTTCTATTTATTAATATTCAACATACTTTCCAAAACCAAAATTTGTTTAATTGCGTTTGGGGTGTTCTTTAAATATGCATACTGTTAATGTTTCATAATGTCATTTTAAAAGTTCTGATATTGAAATATTTCACTTTCATAGATGTGAGTAGAATCTTAGCACAAATATTTTAATTTTTTTTAACCTAAAGGCACAATTTTTAATTGTTTAAATACAAATCAAGATTGGTATGAGGAAGTACTTGAATACAAATAGAAATATTGCCTACTAGTATCTATTGGAGATTTATTTATGGTGAAGAAAATTACATGCTCTACATACCTATGAGAAGGTGAGTTTGGAACAACTTCATGTACATAAATTCCACTTCTGACATCAGGAAAATCTGCATTATTGTGTTTCAGTTCTTCCACCAAGCTAAGAGAAGAACAAAATTATACAGCACAACAAAAGCAGTAGCATTCAAAATTTATTTTTTATTTATTCTCATTTTTTTTGTGTCCAAAAATGAGTGACTTAACTGTTAATCGTTTGCCCCTTGTTCTTGTGAGGAGAACGCAGGGGATTTGAACCTGGATTAAAACAAGCAACACAGACTTTAAGAGAGTCAAAGCTACTTACCTGTGCAAAGCATGCTATATTTAATGGTCTTGTACATCTCCTGCAAGAATCTGACTTTTGCTATTTGTAGCAGTAGCACAGAGGGCACTGTAAACAAGCACAGGGACAGCAGCACAGAGGCAGTAGCACCCTCTGTCCTAGGTGCTGTACAGGGACAAAAGACATTTCTGCCCCAAAGAATTAATGCTGGTGATGGGGCAGAAATTTGCTAACTATTTTGCTTCTTTCATTTTGCAAGTAATTTTTAATTTGTCTTTATCTAGAACAATATAGCTTTTGGTAACTTCAGTCATCAGATAGATCAGAACTGTCAAGAGTTTTCCAGGGAAACTTCAGCTTCCTCAAGTTTTCTTGAGGAATTGTTTGTGCATCCCTTAAAGAAAGAAGACAGGAACCAGCTGCAAAACAGAGACTCTAAAAACATTCTCTCGTTTCTGAGAAGATGACATCATTTCAGGTCTGTACACAGTGTGGGTCAAAATCCATTTATAGAAAGAAAGGATTTTAAACTAATGATGGATTACTCTGCTGTCCGCCATGAAAATGTGGGGTCCCTCAGACGGAAAGCAAGCCAAAATGGCTGCACACAGCTTCACTTCATTTGATTTTGTACTGAGGAAGCTAACAATCAAATGACTAAAGCAAACAGACCAAGGGAAGTAGTTTTTTTTTCCTGAAAACAGGCCTGGAGACATCTTACGTGGCTTCATTAGATGCCACGAAAGCAGTAAAATCTCACATCGTGTTCATTTCACAATTACGCAGAGAAACATTCTGAGCTTCTCTCCATCGGTGGTGGCCCAGTGATGTTAATGCCATTACACTGATTTGTTCCAGCTGAGGATCTGACCCTTTGGGGAGGACTGCAAAAGTATAACTCAAACAAAGATGGCTTTACTACAACTCCAGCTGGAAATCGTCTTAATGTTGCAGTCTACTGCCACATTGGAAACGTGCCTACTGCTGGGAAAGAACACAAGCCTAAGAGCCCTCATTTGTTATCCCAGATTATATCCGGGTAACAGGAAGACACAAAGCAATGTGAGAGAGAAAAGACAGTAAAGAACTGGAGGAGGCTGTCCATGTTCTGCCTTTGTTAACATGGAGGCATGAGCTTTAGTTCTGCACTTTAGCACCTACTTTCTTTCTAGTTAATGGTTAGGCACCGAATCTCACATCGGATGGCCTCCACTGGCACTGATAAAACTACCGCCAAAGCCTCAGGCAGCTAATCTGTCACTGGCACTCAACCAGCACCTGAAAGCAGCAGCTTGTTTAAATGTCCCCTAAAACCTAGTGTAACTCCATACATCCTCATCAAGAACGAAAATCCGTGTTCAGGCTCTTCCTAAATTCCCTCAGCTATCAACAAGGCATCCGCCATTTAGAGAATGACTGATAGTGATTTTCCAGATCTCAGAACACATATTAAAAATGTTTAAAATTAAAAAGTTTAAAATGAAAACATTTGCAGACTTCATAAAAGCTAATGCACACTTCTGGTTTCTCTGGAAATTTGGAAAGAAAGCTCAGTGATCAAGTTCTGAACCACTATTGACCACATCTTGTATGCATGATCATACAGATTAACTTTCTAAGATACTTACGCAGGTGTTATTGTCAGCATTCTGATACCAATGAAACGTTTCTTCCCATCTGAAAATAACACAGAGGATATTTAAGAAATTTAGGCAAACACTGACAAAAATAACTACTTTGATGACCCAAAATATCTATCCATTAAACCAGGATCCATCTGCTTTTAACAAAACTAAACAGAAATCACACACATCTTCACTGAGGCCATTTTTCATTTTGGTTAGCCTTGTTGTACAGAATGACTATCCCTCTCCCTGCAAGTAAAGGTAAGAGAGAAGCTCATTTACACCCCCTAAGAGTTTTCCTTCAGGAAATTCAGGAAAATTTCTGTGATCTAGTATCACATGGCTTTGGTAAATGGAAAATTTCATAACCAGCTACTGTTTCATCTGAAACTAGTCAAGTCAATTTAATCATATGGTGTTCTCATTAAAATGTAGAAGTAGGATTTAAAGAAATGGAAATTTCCACTTTTCAGAAAAAGGAGAAACAAAAGACTCATGCTGATTCTAATGCAAATGATTTGTTATTTCTACCCCAAAGAATGAAAAAGTGATTTTTTTTAAAAAAACACATAGACCTTAGTCAAAATGATCACAAAAATGATCAGAGGGATGGCACACCTCTGCTATGAAGAAAAGCTGAGAGAGTTGGGGTTGTTCAGCCTGGAGAAGAGAAGGGTCCGGGGAGACCTTACTGCAGCTTTCCAGTACTCAAAGGGAGCTTATAAGAAAGGTGCGGATTAAACTTTTTAGTAGGGCGTGTAGTGATAGGACAAGAGGTAAGGGTTTTAAAGTAAAAGAGGGTAGATAACAACTAGATTTAAGGAAGAAATTTTTTACAATGAGGGTGGTGAAACACTGGAACAGGTTGCCCAGAGAGGTGGTAGATGCCCTGTCCCTGGTAACATTCAAGGTCAGGATGGATGGGGCTCTGAGCAACCAGATCTAGTTGAAGATGTCCCTGCTTGTTGCAGGGGAACTGGACTAGATGACCTTTCAAGGTCCCTTCTGACCCAAACTATTCTATGATTAGCTAGGACTCTACAGAATTTTAAATGGTGAAAACTCACTCCTTTAGGAATAGCACCACATTTCTGTAGTCAGCTTTTATAAGTCATGATATTGCACAGCTGTCTTATGAAAAAAAAATGCAGTTTGATGACTTCCTGCAGTGAGTTCTTCAGTAGTTAGTTATATCCGGTATGAAACAATATTTCCCCTTACTTGTTCCAGCATAACTACTTCATAATTTCTTTGAGGTTCTCCATGTTCTCATGTGAGGAAAGAGTTTGAAAAGGAGATGTACACAGTCTCCTCTAACTCTTATTCTTTCCAAGAAAAATAGTGCCAAGTGAAGGAATTAGTTGTGAATCTTACACATTTCCAATATTGCCATTAGTGTCAGTGAAGATGTGGACTGCTAAACATTGGATTTACTACACTCGAAACAATCTCACATCTGTAACTATCATCCCTGCTTTTCCCTGAAATGTTCTGGCTCTCCTATATTTTAAGGCAAAACTATCGAGATCAAAATCAGCTATAGTAACAGTGTCATGAAGAAGTCCAATTACTCAAAATTGAAGTCTCAAAAGCTTTGGACATGGCCATGAACTAGTGCACTCATAGTGCTTCTCTAGTCCACACAGCATAAATGTAAGTTTTCATTTTTTAAAAATATCCAAACATGGTAATTCTCCCACCCAAAAATAATGTCCCCATCCCTGCAATGTGAGCAGTTAAATGATGAAGTTGTCTCCATGAGACACAAAGATGACAGACTCTCTGGTGACAGTTTACTGTTTGCATTAAACAGTTTGCTGCTGGTCATCACCTGCGTGATGGAGAAACATGCAGAAGCAAAAAGCATGCTCTGGGGCTGAGTTAGGAATGTTTACATGAAAGAAAAATGAAAATGAAAGAAAGAACAAGAGAAGCTGATCTGGAAGAAACAAAACAGCAAGGGGGAGATTGGGCAAGAATGAAAAACCACGGCGGAAATGCCATTGATCTAAAAGAAAATTATTTCTCTAGGGGCTAATGATACAAGTAAAAATAAGGCTTTGGGGAAAAAAAAAAATCTGGTAACTACAGATTTGTTCACAACTATAAGTCTCATTCTATCTTCATCTTTGGGCAGGTTCATGTATTCTTTTACTCCTGTTCATGCATTAAAACTCAAAATTGCCTTCAGCCCTCTCTCCACAAACAGTTTGCCATACTGCAAATAGTGGTCCATACTGTAACAGTAGCAGGCTATTATATAAAGTAAAACTAATAGCTATGAGCTATGGGTTATTTTAGCAGCAGAGTTTAGATTCCGCCTCTTCCCACCCTCTAGCCATTTTGTATGTCACAACTTCTGGCCTTTTGTTTTGAAAAAGTCCATTCCATTCAATTTAACCCATCAAACACTTTGCACAAGACCCAAAGTTTTCATCAACAATGATTAGAGGGAATATAATTGTCCAGTTTATTAGAAGTATTAGCAGAAACTGAACAGGCACAGACAACCAGTTGCAGTGTTTTATTATCCTCAAAGGACGGGCATTTTGACAAAGGGGTGAAGTCCCATTGGCAGAGCAGTATGTGGCACCTGGAACTATCACTGTCATATTACATCTGCTCTTTGAATCAATAGTCTCAAAAGCTGTCATTCTGGCAATTTCATACAATAATAGAATGGTTTGGCTTGGAAGGCACCTTAAAGATCATCTAGTTCCAAACCCCCTGCCATGGGCAGGGACACCTGCCACTGGATCAGGTTGCTCTATGCCTCATCCAACCTGGCCTTGAACACCTCCAGGGATGGGGCAGCCACAACTTCTCTGGGCAACCTGGTCCAGGGTCTCACCACTCTCAGAATAAAGAATTTCTTCTTTAGATCTAATTAAAATCTACCCTCTTTCAGCTTAAAGCCATTATCCCTGGTCTTATCACTACATGCCCTTGTCAGAAGTCCCTCTCCAGTATTCCTTGTAGGTCCTCTTCAGGTACTGGAAGGCTGCTAGAAGGTCTGCCTGGAGCCTTCTCCTCTACCCTATGCTGAACAACCCCAAGTCTCTTAGCCTGTCTTCATAGCAGAGGTGCTCCAGCCCTCCGGTCATCTTCGTGACCCTCCTCTGGACTCACTCCAACAGGTTCACGACCTTCTTACGTTGGGGGCCTCAGAGCTGAAGGCAGAACTCTTGGTGGGGTCTCACGAGAGCAGACAGGGAGAACCACCTCCCTCGACCTGCTGGCCGCGCTTCTTTGGATGCAGCCCAGGACACAGTTGGCTTTCTGGGCTGCAAGTGCACATTGCCGGCTCATGTTAAGCTTCTCATCAACCAACAACTCCAAGTCACTCCTTCTCCTCAGGGCTGCTCTCAAATTTGTGCAATCATGAGGCAGAAGAAAAAGCAGTTAGGAGCACTGGAATAAAGTGAGGTTGTAAATCTAAGAAGCTGGTCACCAGGGTGCAGTTCTAGCAGTAGTTAAAAGAAGGTTAATATGTTGGAACAATCAGGTTGAACAAATGTGAAACCATTGTGGCTTAAAGCTGGAGCAGAGCACAAGAGAGAGAGATATCCAAATCGCATTTCATTTTTGTAAGCACCAGGCCAGATTAAACACTGATTCCAGTGTTCAATTTAAATTAAGGTGTCAGGTACTCAAACTCTTGCGCACACAAGTAACTCTGGCACATGAGTATCCCATTGCAGTTGATTTCTGTGAGGCCAGGATATCACCAAGACCTCTGAGTGAAGAAATGAACCCTGCACTTTTTATTCAAGTGGCAGGCAAAATTCCTACTTCTCTGCTCACTCCTTTTGCACTTAGACCATCTTGCAGATTGCATAAGCAGCCCTGAAAGCATTCAAGGAAGATACTCCACTGCCGAACAGAAACCATGAAGACAGCTTGAGTTTATAATGCTGAATTATGTGCAGTGTACCTGAAATATAAATTGCATATCCGAATTTAACCAGTAGTCTGAACGTATACTCAGAAAGCTTCCTAAGCCACCCTCATGACTACTGGTAATAATCATACAAACACATAGCTAAGCATATAGCTTCAACGTAACTACTAAAGTGTTCTGGGAATGTAAAAAAGGATACATATAAATGACTTTTTTGTGTGTGGCCAATGCAGAACTCCCATCTATCCTTGCTCATCCTAAACAAGGTTTATTCACTTTTCTGCTAACATTATGAGGCCAGGCTGACCTCCTAGGCTGGATTTTCTCTTTAGCGTTTTGTCAAATCGCTAACTTATTGTATTCCATCCTAGAGGATCCATGTCTGAACACTTTCTAGTTTTACTGTTCTGCTCAAGACTAAACTAGGAATATATACAGATGACTTCCAGAGGTAAAGACAGAACGCACAGATAGTTAAAACTGAGATACAGATGGAGACACTTAACTTCATGCACCAGTTTAAGAATTCCTAACTATAAAAGGAGGTTAACATCATTACTGATAAATCCAAAATTAGTGAAGGCTTTCAGATCATTCAACAGATAAATAGCTCTATGCAGAGTGTGGTAAATCTTTGGTCAAAAGTACATCAGGTATTATTATGTATTACCCATGCATTAGGTATATAGAATACAGAATGATTAGATAATAAGAATCAGTGCAAATAATTCATTCAAATGCCATCCTCGCCTCCTTCCCCCCGCCTCCCTCCACTCCTTACTTCTGTAGATCATGAATTTGCAGTTATATACAATGGATGGGACTTCAAAAATATATGCCTTATAAACTGGCAGTTATCTATCAATCTATCTAAACAATATTCTGAGTATCTCCTATACGCCACAGTAAATCTGGAAAGAGTAGCTTCCTAAGGGAATTTTATCATCTTCAGGCAATATGATATTTAGAGCAAAATGGTAATACCCTTAAACTTATTTCTATGACCTAATTGTACCATAAGGGCGGGTCCCACTGAAACTACTGAAACATAATTGGAGCAAAAAAAAAAAAAAATGACAAAAACATCCCAAAAATTCTGCTTGCATAAATTCCTTATGTCGAGAAATAACATCTATAAAACAACCCTGAAAACTATTACTAAAGGCCTAAAAAATGCAAACTAAGTTTCGAATATGGTGAAAATATCTCCTAGAAATTCTTTCTCTGTGCATCAAGGGCTTTAAATGACTGTTCTTCTGCCTGCAGCAAAAGTGTAAGAGGTACTTCAGTCAAGCAAAAGCAAAAAAAAATTTAAAAAATAAAAAAAAAGTTAAAATTGCCTGTGCCCAGGTTATGCCAAGCAGTGATGGTCACACTGATGCTAAGAGTAAGCGTGAATCCTTTTCCTTTGATTAGAGGATAACGAGTTATCTCTAGGCCCTCTAGCTGGGCTCAGCGGGTTCGTCGTTCTCTGGAGACAAGGTGCCTGAAGGAGCAAGGTGGCTGATTTCAGTGGTGGTATCTCCAGCCTTTACTGACTTTTCAGCCCCAGTTACCAGGAATTCCCTGGCAGATAGTGGGCTTTCTGATCAAGGCTTGAGTTCATGGCTCTAGAGCCATGGCTGCAGGGTAAGCCATCGCCCTTTCCTGTTTTGAGATGAGCAGTTTGGTTCTGAAGGGTGATATCACTAATGATACAGACCTGCTTTTCTCAGAAGCCAATTAGTAACCTGGGTGAATAAATACGTTGTTGACTTGTTGGCTGAAACAGAATTGTCTCAGCTACTTTGAAATGTACTTTTCAGCACATAATAACTTTTTTCATCAACTCTTACCCCTACCACCCCAATCAACAAGTGAAAACAATCTAATTAGGGGAATTCAGCAAAACACAGATGAGGGGACCCATCAGATTTGTGATGGTCTCAAATATACATGCAGATGCATAACTTTAAAAACTCTGACTAAAGGAAGTTTCCGAAATAACAGTATCTGAGAGGAAAATGGTGTAGAGAACCAACTCTTGCATCAGCAACTGGATGAACTCAGGAGAAGACAAGATTAATATAAAAAAGGTTCAAGAGAAGCAGCAGCCAATAGTCATGATAAAAGATGAGTAGGGTGTGGACAGATAAACTGGCAAGCAAAAGAGAAAGATGAAGCATAACTAGATCAGCTTTGGCTGTGCAGCATGTAGTATGACACCCAGTACAGTGTCACAGATACAAGGCAGCCACATAAAAAAAGTCCAGAGTACTGCAGATGTCAGTTGCTGGTATATTTAGATTTATATGCTCTTTGGTGCAGAGGTCTTTCTTTTTTTCTGCCTCTCCTCCCTTTCCCCATGTACTTCTTCAGGAATTAGTACACAGCTCTTCCTCCACCAGGATCTGAGAGTCTATCACAATGTCTGGTTATACAGCATTGACATAGATATCCATGGAAAAATAAAGATCATCCACTGATAGTGCACACACTATATTCCATCCATCGACAAGTGTTTTAAAAAGTTTTTACCTTATTCCCCGCAGTACACCTTAATCTCCTTTTTGCTTGGACAATATGTGAAAGAGGAGGATAAGACTCCTTGAAGAAATCACCATCTGTTCTCAAGATCATTTGAGACTGTAATGACTCATCTGTGTCCTCACAGACCCTTTTCCCCAGATTTATACAGATACTCTCTACTCTTTGAAGTTGTTTTCTATTTCCAAATCCATGTGTTCTATACTGTAAAATAATGCCGCTCCTTTCAGTAACAGGATCCTAGACCCGTGTCTTTTGTTACTTCGACGACAGATGAGGACAATAATTGGAAGATGTCACTGTTTCTTGCAGACCTTACCTTTACTTTGTTTGTCATGTGACTCTGTGAGAAACTGAGTGATGCGGTCTGAAGGAATAGCAAAAGAAATTCCAGCTGTGACCTTCAAGGTGTTAATCCCAATCACTTCACCATCCTGTTGAGAGACAGCATCCAATTAATTTGGTCCTAAGTGACAGGGTTCAGCTCACTGCCTAGCATTTCATGTTAAAAGCTGGTCTAAGACATTTTAGAGTGTTGTAATCACTCCAGAAATAAACATTACTTCTAAGGGAGGATCTGGGCTCTGATTCACAATCCCTCTCTCATTTAACTGTGATGGCCAGAGAGATTACAGTACAGTTTGTTCATCCAAGGTCCATCTCAGCACTCGGCAAGAGACTCTCTCTGCCGAGCGAGCAGTGGAGTCACTACTGCCACTACAGCCACAATTCACTGACCTGCAGAATCAGTGCTGGTTTAAAGCAATCTATTTTAAAATCAGGTTTGTGCAGATTAACCAGGTCCCACCTTTGCTCTGCATCCCAGGTGTATAGTGTGAATGAGCTTAACTGCTCCTACTAAATCCCGTTTTCCTCACTGCTGTATAAAATTTCCTCTGATCTATGGGGAAATGTTTTTCAATGGTGTATGAACTGAGACCTAATTTGCATAGTTTGTATTAGCTTCAGAGTATCTGCCTACCATTAGCTTGAATGACTGGATGCTAGTATGACCTATGAATCTTTTCAAAAACATACTCTCCCACTTAGTTCAAACTAGCTCTTAAAATAAAACAAAAAACAAGTCACTTGGACTTACCAGATTAACTAGAGGTCCTCCAGAGTTGCCATACTGTAAAAATAACATAAGAGAACAATAAATTGGTGCTTCACTGTAGGAAATGCAGTTTTCATTTCAAACAGTATTTTAAGCAAATGAAAGAGAGCAGGTCATTTCTTAGGCAGCACTGAAGGACACGATATTGATCACAGAAGATTACAGGCAGGTCTTACCCTACCCATTCACACCTTTTACAATTAGATTTTCTTCTTTTCAGAAACAGGCCTTAAGTTAGGAACAGGAACTTACCACTCCAAATAGTTAGACTCTAAGTTTAAGAAGAATCATTAAATAGTTAAAACAAGTATTTTGATTCTTCTAAAGACTGTCAGAACAAGATTCTGAAATAATTAATTGCTATTTAAAGTTATATTTCAGTGAGGTGCACATACAGTTCTTAAGTAGTTTTATTCATCTCTTTGGTTTGTAACACTGTCAGTCTCTTATTCTCCACTGGAGAAGAACACAGTGCTTTACATGTTTAATCACAGCGTATCGCTATGAGGTAGGTACTACGTAAGGATTGATTTAGTAACCATAGACATGCAATCCTCTCTAGGGAGGGCATATAGGCGCTCTGAGCAGTCTGAAATTGCCTAATATCTAATGGCCTTCAAAGGAAACATCCAACAGGACTACAGGAAATGGGAGTTGGAGAAGTTCCTTGTCCATCTTCATGTTGGCTCAAAAAGTTTGGTTTTGAGTGAGGCCAGAGTTTTCCAGTAGGTCTACTGAACAGCCAAGAGCAGCAACTTACCACTCAAAATAAACAAAAGCTAAGTGATACATAACAGCAACATGAGCCATATAAACTGTTTACACTTAGATAGCGCTGGGCAAGCCTTATAGATTCTCAGAAGAATAAAACAGACACTGAAGTTTTTAAAACAGTGATCAGAGGCTACACACTTGATTTTTATGTCTGACTGACACAAAGAACCAAGATACTGATTTTTCAGCCTTCCTCAGCATATCATCTTTCATTCACATGTCCTCTACTTGAAAGATGTGGTAACCAAAGCACTTCAGCACATGCAGTATAGCTCCATTTAGGAATGTACAGCCCTGTTTTCTCCTGTCCCATGTTCCTGCTGTTCTAGTGTTTCTCAGAAGGCAGCTGCATGCACACTCCTGCAGGAAAATCTTGGCTGAGCCACAGGAATGCTCTGAATCGACCAGCTCTCAAACTCCTCCCATTCTCAGGAGAAAACTAGTGCATTAGCTAAGCACAAAGCATCCCTATGCCAGGGACTATCTTCATACTTTGTGGTCTCAAATGGCAAAGCAATAATAATAATAATATATTGTCATTTGCCTTACAGCCTCTGCTATCACTATTCCATTTGATCTAGCATTATCTGAAACACTCTGCTATCCTTGTCTAATCTTGCTCATTAGCTTTTGAGAGCAGAGAATGCCTAAGTAAATAGAAGGAAGCAGTTTGATCTTGAGGAATGTGTATAGGCGAGAAGTCAAGAATCCCATGTTCTAATTCTGTCTCTGCCACCAATTGCATGTGTGTTCCCAAGTAACCCATTTTGCATACGATTTCCTATTCTCCTTTTACAACTGAAGAAATTAATTACAACTAAATGTCTTAAGAGGTTCAGCTCCTGGATCATACAGAAGCTTTTTGAAAAAGGTTGCTTTTATGTCACATCTTAGCACAAAAAGTAATTACTCTCCTTTTTCCCCGTACAATTTATCTTGACAAGTCTGTGCCAATAAATATTTGTGAAGCACTTTGCATATGTAAAATGCTAAGTGTTATGACTGGTAATGTCAAATTTGATATTGAGGTCCAGCAAATAAATGCTGAAAACATTTTCCTTTCAATGTATAACAGATTTACGCTGTAAAATTTCAGGCCATTTTCTACCTCAGATATGCATACAGTGCTCTTTTTTGAATCACTACAAGTTATATACCCACCCAAGGACTTTACTTAAGCTCCCTGAATCCCTCCAAGCTGCTGTGAAGAGATAGTATTTTCATGTATTTCTGTACAACATGCAGTGCTAGAACTTTTAACTTGAACTGCATCTCCAACCTTATGTTATCTTAAATCTAGATTCTTACTTCGAGTTTGTGATGTGCAAAGGAAAAACAACAAAAACATAACAATCAACTCTCTCCTTAAGTTCTTACCTGGGTGTTCTGTCATTAAATTCAAGCAGACACTATCAACTTGACTACTCCATCCGGTTCTAATGAGTAGACATGAAAGAAACTGTGGCTCTATTCTACAGCTTGTTTGGCCAGATCAGCTGAACATGCAGAAAGAGTATTGATTTACTGCTGCTCTATACAACCATGTGTTACTGCACGAGATCTACAGAATGAGAAGGGTCTGTCACATCTAACATCTTCATAGACAAGCTCAAAGAGGGCAGTTTTATTTAACCTATCTTTCACAACATTAATGCTTGAACACGACTTACAGACACTGCATAGTCTTTTATAAAAAGAAGAGCCTATCACTGATTTTAAACAAAGCTGCTTTTATTTAGTGGATTCATTTTTCAGAGCACACACTTCCCTGCTGAATAGGCAGGGATTTCAAAGTCTCAGGACTGTGAAGCTCAGCTCCTCACATACATAGTACTTACATTGATAATAGCATCTGTCTGAATGTAATCCATATCCGAGTCCCGCAGGCCAAGTTCTTTGCCATCTCGCTGAGCAGTGCTGACAATACCTGTTGTCACAGTGTTCTGTAAGGCAAACGGACTTCCAATCGCCACCACAAATTCTCCTGGCCTCAGATCAGCAGAGTGTCCCAGTAACAGTACTGGTAGTTTTTTCTTAAATAAACACAGAAAGAAATAAATAAGCATTAATTTATACCTGCATATAACCTGACTGGAAAGATCAAAAGCTAGCAAGAAGTTAGGAACATACACTTTCCATTACATTAACAAAAAAGCCACACACTATCATACACTCAAAACTTATGCCAGATAAAATTAGTATACTGCAGGGTGTTACTGCTTTAAACTGTCTTCAGGAACACACTGCTCGCAGCAGTACCTTTCCATTTCATCCAGAAAAAAAAGCCAGCAAGATTCTGAAACAGATCTCCCCACTTCCCAGAAGATTGTTCCTTCTGCCTCCTAGAAATAGCATACAAATAGCTTTTGACCAGCCTGCCACTCTCCCTAGACTACGTATCACCTTGCGGTCCATGTGTTAGCACAAAGCTAGAAGGATTACACAAAATAGCCTGGTTCTTCAGGTGAAGATAGCAGAATCCGGCCACATGTTAACTGAGCTGCACTTTTTTTAGTTCTTTTTTAGCTGTTCCTAGCACAGAAGACAAAGTAATTTAATTCTAAGATATGAAGAATTTCCTGGCCTACAGAAACAGTTTTTCCAGTACACTGTTTTCCCTAGATATATTTCCAAGGAATCCCTAAACATATATTCCAGCCAATCACTCTATGCTAAGTGAAACTGAAATAGGAGTTCCCAAATTAATTCATTCATCTGTTTGCACCACTCACCTTAGGGTGAATTTTTATTGTTGCAATGTCAGATTTCTTGTCAATGTCTTTGATGGTTGCTTCATAGGTATCTCCATTCTGCAGCTGCACTTTCAATTGCTGTCTCCCTGATATAGCATTGGTGCTTGACACCACGTGGGCATTGGTCACAATTAAACCAGAATCAGACATAATAAACCCAGAGCCACTGGAAAGTGGGACATTTCGGCCAAAGAGAGGATGCCTGTACAAAAATCAAGTAATTATAAGGGAAGCGTAACTTAGAGAAGATTACATTAGAAATCATTTACCACCATTCACCCCGAAAAATAACAAAGCATTTGATGACCAAGTTACAACCCTTACAAAAATTAAATTAAAAAAAATGACAAAGAAAGAATCCTTTTCTGAAAATTGTGATTGCTTTTAGTCAATCAGGGTGGTAGGAACAGATGTTTTCAGGCAACCTGCAGTGCCCTTTTCCTTTGGTTTCCAATTCTATCTTTATAGGCTTCCTTGCAGAGAGGCTAGGGGGCAAAAAGGGAAGGAAGAGCCCATCTGATCGCACCAGTTGTTGCTTCTCTACGAGAATAAAATGACAGGAAATAGTAGAGCTGACAAATGGACTGGTCCTCTAATGGGAAAAAGGGAAGAAGAAAGAACCTTGCAGTCGGACAGAGGGGCAAAGGAAGAGGTGACATCTCAGGAAATCATGAAGCCCAAGTGTGGACTGGCAGGGAAAAAGCATGTCTGGAAATTGAAAGGACTGGGAAGGTGAAAGAAAAGAAATGAAAAACTCTAAAACCAGGTAAAACTTGGGGGAAACAACATTCACTGCAATATAAGCAGTTAAAAGACTTTATAAAGTGTTTAAAATATTATGTCTTTTCTCTATGAACCTTAATGTAATGACCTTAGATTTGTTAAGGGAATAGAAAGTGCCTGGGCAGCAGAAGATTAGAAAACATCCACAAATTCTTCTTTCTTCGAAGACATGGTCCTTATTAGGAAATTGAAAGTTCTGGGCTATTCAGCAGTAAAGAACTGGAGTCAATCCCAGGCAGAAGCCAGTGTTACAATTAGCACCCAGCAGGATGCTGGACAAACATTTACTTATGGGGAAAGAACAATCAATCTTAACTATACATGCAAAGACCTTAAACATCTTCAACTGTAACGTTCTCTCAAAACACCAATCACCATGTGCATAAAGCTGTGTTTCAGAAAACCTGATTATCTTGATTTTGCACATTAAAAAAGCCTGTAAAAATTATTCAAGAAATTCTTAAGCCTATGCAAAATTAGAGTACTCTGAGCAGAAAGGTATTCAGGTAACAGAGCACATATAACATTTGCAGTAATTTGTTCTGACAGGAGGTTGGTTTGAGCACGCAATGTTAAACTTGTCACCTCAGCTCCAGCGTCAGTACACTGAATATTGGTATGTACTGGTCAGCAAATTTAGTACATTTTTTTCATATCAGAAATCACTTTTGTGTTTAGATAGGTCACATCTGGTCAATGTGCTACCCCTCTTAATGTTCTCCCTGTCAAAATAAAATCACCTCTCACTGAAGGTGGAATAAGGAACAAGGGGCTATGTTTTTCGAGCTTATCTTCTGGACTTTTTTTTTTTTTTAACTGAGATAATAAACACAATCCAACAAGCAATATATTTTAGTGAAGGCTGAAGAGATCTCCAAAGGTGAGACAGACTTATTTTATGGCAGACAATATGTATTGTAAAGTACTGTAATGACTGTAAGCCCAATAAAATAGATCTACTAAACAGGAACAAAATACAAATGGGTGGTTCTCTGGATAAATGAGTCTGCTATACTGTTTCAGAGTATTTTGTGAACTTCAAGAATTCAAAGTGAAAGTTACTACACTGGAAAATCTTTGTAGACCTTTGTTAAACAACGCAATGAAAACACAAAGAATTGAAAGTGTTACCTGAGGAATAGTTCAATGTGCACAACTGCAGGTGCAATCTTTTCCACCACATCTGCTATGAAGTTGAATTTGTATCTTGGACTGCTGGACTGTAGGTGACCTATACTAGCAGAAAGAATTGGATATGTTAATAAGACAACACCCTTTTTCACCAAGTAGGTGAGATAAATATGGTTTGAATTGCCCTGTTTCTCCTACTGGAATAGCTTCCAAACAGACATTGGAAAAGAAATCAAAGTCATTAAGATTGTTTAAAAATTATCCAGCATTTTGCTTGATCCTGAAAAAATTAGGCATCAGCATCACTTGCCTATAAGGTCTTTGACTTTCTTGGAAGTCTACAACCTTGTCTGAAGTACTTTTCTTGGGACAACTACCAATTATTATCCAAAATGCATAGGGTCATAGGATAAGTCAGGTTAGAAGAGACCTCAGGAGGTCTCTAGTTCAACCTCCTGCGCAAAGCTGGGTTGGCTACAAAGGCAGACAAGGTTGCTCAAAGGCTCTGTCCAGTTGGGACCTGCAAACATCGAAGGATATTTGCTCCAGAAACTCTCCGGGCAGCTTGTCTCACTGCTTCACTGTCCTCCGTGTGACAAAAGTTTTTCTTCTATCTAGTCTGAACTTCTCTTGTTGAGACTCATGTTTTAGCTCATGCACGTTGTCTCTCACCATGCACCTCTGGAAAGAATCTGGCTCCATCTTCCTGGTAACTTCCTCGTGAGTACAGGAAGGCTGCTGTTAGGTCCTCCTCAAGCTCTCTCCTCCAGGCTGAACAAGCCTAGTTCCCTTAGCTCCTTCTGACAGGAGATATGTCCAGTCCCTCAACTATCCTCATGACCCTCTCCTGAACTCTCTCCAGTTTGTCAATGTCTTTCTTGTATTGAGGGGTCCAAAACTGGATACAGTATTCTAGGATGTGGTCTAGCAAGTGCTGACTAATACAGCTGCAGCATTCGAGAATCACATTTAGAGGCCAAGTTAGGATTTTTTGAAGTAGACACATTAGAAATCTGCTGTAAATGACAATCTTTGCACCTAAAAAGTTTTGCAAATTCACATTTAAGCTGTCACAAGCAACTGGGCACTGCAATAGAGTACTAAATACTAAGCGTTCTGATAAAAGCCAGTGCGGTACTGTTAAACAGCACTACACACAGCATTTATGAATACTGAACATAATTCTGTGGAATGAAGATATTTGAAGAGAGGGAAAAAAGCCCACAGCATCGTGGCTTTTAATGTCACAACATCCTGGATGTTAACATCATAACATCATAAAGTGATAATACTGCCTGTGCTAGAATGTCATACTTACCTGCAATCCCTAATACAAGGGGACATATCACCACATATGTTAAACGTATGCTAGGGGACATATCACCACACTCAAATAGCAATCTTTCATGTTCACAGCCCAATGCTTTAAAATTAATTATGGGATCTAGGGAAGGAAGTAAACTAGTTGTAACCAGATACAGCAATAACATTTTCGTTTTTTTTCAAATCCGGTGCAACAGCACACTGTTCATCCCAGGAGATATAATTCTTTTTCTGTCATTTAGCCAGGAGAGAGAGGCTCTAGTTCTAGTTTCTAAACAATATCAACTCTTCAGAAGTGATGCTTTGCACCATCATGATTTGCTTTAAGTTCAACTCATGCTGAAGGATGAGCTTACTCCACAGTAGCTCTTGCGTATCAAGTCAACAACTGGTCTTAAGGGTTCTAGATTTGCCTGTTTCCAGATCGCACAACATAGTACCAGGTCCAAATACAGATTCCGTCTTCCAAAAGTATGTATTTTTCCTTCATCAGCTGCCCTTTACTCAAGTCTTTAAAAGGAAAGTAGGTAGGAAGCACCACACAAAAAGGAAAGATACACACAAAAGAAAGGAGAGAGAGAAGAGAGTTCTCAGGCATTTTGGTATTCTGTGTGGTTCTTAATTCAAAGATTATTTTCACCAATCCTTATCTGCAGGTGTTTTACTGACCATTAGACCTTCTAACTTGTAAATTACTTAGGATGAACATAAAGATTACAGCACAATGGAGTCTAACGTGTTTACAAAAAATATGTCTCACTGATCTATTCTATTCTTTGAACGAATTCATAAGATAGCAGGTGACAGAGAACTAGTTGTTATAGTTCCTATAGTCTCTCAGAAAACTTTCACAATAAAGTGTTATAAGACCTAGAAAGTCAGCATGTAAGAGGCCTTATAGTACAGTATCCAAAAAACCTGAAGAAAAGACAGAAACTTATGGAATGGACCCAACACTGGTACCAAGGAAGACTGGTACCAAGGTATTGAAGAAATTAGATCAAGACAATTAGGCATTTCTCCACAGAAGTTCGTGAGTTCTTTTTCCTCTTACTGGACATGGGATTTACTTCTTAGGGGAAAGAAACCACACTTACATTTAGCAAGTTACATTTATATGATACACTATAAACAGAAGGAACGACTTGGCAGGATTAGATTCGGTCTATTATTTTTATGTGCATTCTCACGCACTCTGAAAAATCCCTCTAACCAACTGAGTGTGCTTGTTTCAGTACTTAGTTTAAAAGAGAGACCACAAACAGGAATCAAAAAGGACAATCAAACGTAAGCACAATATACTGTTATTTATTTTGCTTACTGGGTCACTTAAGATTTATCTTACCTTCAGTTTATAGAATCATAGAATGGTTAGGGCTGGAAGGGACCTTCAAAGGTCATCTAGTCCAACCCCCCTGCAAGGAACAGGGATATCTCCAGCTAGATCAGGTTGCTCAGGGCCTCGTCCAACCTGGCCTTGAATGTCTCCAGGGATGGAGCATCCACCACCTCTCAAACTGTTACACCTCTCAAACTGTTACAAGCAGTTTGCCTGATTATGGAGTATATCCTTCGAAGTCTACTAACATGACTTTGAATACTTGCATACACAGCAGTGTTCACTGACGGGATATAACGTTATCATCACATTTATCTTAATTGAAATGACTACACATCTATGACAGACAGTTGGCTAGACCCTCAGCTGATGAACTAGCATAGAACCAAGGGGAAAAAGCATGGTGAATGCAGGCTTTCGGTTGGTGTAAATCAGCATAGCTCTATGTGAGTCAGGGCAACTAAAGCCCTTTGCATCTGCTGAACTGTTCTGCCCGTGCCAAATTGTCACAGCATTGCACATGGCCAAAAGCAGAGGAGGACACCTGCCAAAGAACTCAGTTTTGCACCACTCCTGACTAGCCACCAGAGAAACATCATGGCTGGCAGTGGCTTTCCAGGTAAGATTTGCAGTAGGCAGAAAGAAAAAGTTTGAAAGATGTAGCAGATGAATGTAAACATGGAAAGAGTTGAAGAAAATAAAATGTAGCAATACAGAAAGGAGACTGTAAAACTGAAGCAAAGCTTGTCTTCTTTCCATACCATAGTGAAAGCATTTCTCACTCTGAGCAGAAGTCCAGAAACTCTCTGCTGGGGTCAGAAGACAAGAATACTCAAACCTGAAGGTGAATCCAAATCTGCACTATATATTAAGGGGAAATTCGAAAAAAAAGGATCAAGAATAACAGACATGCAAACTTCTTAAGCTGAAGAACTACTAGCCTGATTAGAGATGAGGTGTTCTTACTAATGTCTGCTGGAGACTAAATACTAGTGAAAACTGACTTAGAAAGTTGAGATGCCTTCTTAGAAACTGATCTCTCTTGAATCATCTTCTGCAAGCTGGGAGTGATAAGAACCTTCAAACACATTATATAACATCCCAGGAACTCAAACTGTGGACTTGGAACATGTAACTGCAAACTAACATTTACTCTCTCACACACAGCCCTATTTAAGGGAACTGAAATTTTAGTTATTATTAAGAAAATTTCAGTGCACAATTATTAAACTGTTGGTTTTCATCAGAAGTTGTCGATACACTTTAAAAGGGAGGAACTGCAGTCTGAGAAATTGAAGAAGGAAGCAACATCCAACACTGCATGAGCTGAATAAGGTCAGCCTGAAAACGAGTGTTAAAATACAGTAGCAGAATCAGGTCTTTATGTCATACTTTCAATCTATCCTTTAATTCGAGTTAGCTGGTAGACAATAGCTGCTGCTACTGTTCTTATTAAAACATGAAATTAAATCCCTGTTTTTCTTTCTTGTCTGCCCCCCTCTGCTGTCTTGCAGAGTTTCACTCAGCTGTCACCTCTGCTGGGCTGTGAATGTAAGAGCTCTATGTTTACAGCAGCTTTGTGTATTTTGACCTACTGACCTACTGAGATTTGCCACGTATTTTTCCAAAGGTCTCTCAATAACCTCCATTATTTTCCATGTTATTACTGCATGTTCAAAATGATCTCACACTAATCGAAGGTAACGTATCTTGGCAAAAAGCTGTAATTTAATCCAATTAACTATCTGTTGCATAACCAAGATATCAAAGGTGCTGCAACCAGGTCATACTTGAAGCAAAAACAGATTTATACTGTATAAGTCTTTAGCTGTCTGCACATTTCTTAATCAAAAGAACAAGATTTTCCTCATCTACTCCATAGTCACAAATCAACCAGCTTTTCAGCAGATCTGAATCTCCATCCTATCATTTCAATTAAGTCATTGGATCTTCAGAAGCTCTCCATCTCTTCTCACAGAACACTCGAAATCCAGATTTGGATGTAAGTGTATAAACTGGAGTTAAAGATGTTCAGTTGGTTTCATAAAACTTGATCTTATGTTTCCAGTTCTATGGGCTCTAACTACAGTGGATTTACAGGGCTAAAGCCAAGTGCCTGTCAAGTAGGGAGTATCCTTATTATCAGCCTAAGACTCTTCCCAGATATTAGTGTTATCTTCAGGCTAGACGTTCATTTAATAGAGTCTTATTTATTTTCTTGCAGACACCAGAGACCCACTCCAATCTCATTAACACTGCTGTAAAACAGGAACAAGTCCTACAAATTTGTAGAGTTAACCTAGTATGAAGAGAACTGACGAAAAATTTCAGCAGAAATAAGTAGTCATAATCCTACTGAGGACAATAAAGCTAGACCTATTTACATTTGTAAAAGATTTAAAGTTTCTGAGTATCTGCCAGCTTACTCCCTGTAGA